ATATGTGTATGGCATATAAACTGTCTTCTGTGGTCTTTTTCAAAGCTACTTCTGAAGAGAGTTTTTCAGCTGTTATGACCTCTGGAAGCCTACAAGCTGAAGAAGTATGATGATTTAAAGGATGGAAGTGGACATCTGTTTTCTTTGACCATAACCATTACATTTGCAGAAACTTAGGGACTGTAATGCTGTCGGTATCGCTTCCAGTTGTGCTGTCTAAATTCTTAAAGAGGGGAGATATTGCAGAGAGAACAGTTCCCAAAGTCATTAGGACTAAGGGAGAGAGCTAAAAACAGGATATATTTTCTGAACTGATAAAGACATTTGACTGAAAGGTGAAGAAGGCAGTTCTGTTCACCCTCCTGGGGATGCCCTTCTGCAGGTGGTGAAAGGGAACAAAAGGAGCTGGGTAATCCAAATACACATTCAAAGCACAGGAGGTTCTGCACTGGTGGGTGATTTAGACTGAGGCTTAAGTCTTCATGTTTTTTATTTCTAATTATTTTAATCATTTTATTTATTAACAAATTACAGTTTCTAAATAGGACTGCTGCCTCCTGGAGGATGATAGAAACAGCCAGTTACTCAAAGCTGTGCTGGTGTAGATCCTGTGTGTTACTGCTCCTCTTCCAAGTGAACTCAGAATATCACAGATATTTCAGCACGCTGTGAGCTGACATCCAGAGACGTGTGAGGCGAACTCCATTTTGTCAAAATCCTGAAAAATGCTTAGTTCTACAAGTGCTGTATTAAAATGAAGAAGGCGGCTCAGCAGCTCTCACAAGGCTGTACTTTCCTTTCTGCAATTAAAATTGCTGCAGCAGACACTAATGGACTGTCACTGCAGAAATCCCCTCTTGGAAATCTGAGCTATATTGTCCTCTCAGGGAAGGTTTTTCTAATATGAGCAAATAAGGATTTCATTTAACAAGGAAAGAAACCACACTTAATGAAAACCTAAGGAATTGCAAAGAGTTTTCTACTCCCTCAAATCTCTGTTAATCTCTACCAACTTCTATTTATTCTGTGATGTATATTATAAAGTTTAGTAAAAAGATCAAACCTTGACACAAAGAAAAATGTTATCATCAACTCTATTAGAAATAATGACTTAGTAAGAAATAAATTTGTGCCTCATCGACTGGAGTGTGAAGAAATAATTTCCTTCATTGGTATTGCTTAAGCTACAGGAATTGGAGTGCAAACATTTCATGTAGGATGATCCTTTCTAAATCAATATTGTCCTTTGAATCCTGAGTTTCAAATTAAATATTACTCTCCTTTAAACAAAGGCCTGCTTGAAAATCAATGCTATTTATTTTGTCCACTGTAGTGTTATACACAAGTTTATTTTTTGTTATAAATAAAAAAAAACCTGTGGACTTGAAAATGGAAAAAGAAAAAAAATCTTCCTATTTTGCTGATTTCTGGTGTCATTGCTAAGGGTGCATGATAACAGTCACCAGAAAATTCACCATTTTCAGGTAATAGAACTGGTCCTTGCACTAGCTGGCTACTATCAGGTTTTGTCTTGTGCTTTAATAAATTTATAGCTAAAAGTAAAATGCAGCACTTTAAAACAATGATTTTCAGGTCATCATCTGGGGTAAATCTTTTATTGATGTGAACTTTCTTTCAGTGTTTTCATGGTGTTCCAGGTGAATTATTTGATATAATTAGAATAGTAGATTAGAGTAAGCTAAAGCAGAATGTAGACTTTCAAAAAGTCCACACTGCCTGAGGGGGAGACTTGTACTATTTTTATTTATTTATGAATAATAAACAGAAAATATGAGAAAAAAGACTTCTGACGAATGGAGAGAAGACTTATAATGTCATTCAGGAGTCACTTAAAACCTCTACAAAAATTAATGTAGGTAGAGGTTTGGACTTGCTCGTCAAGAACAACCCTTAAATATTCCATACTGTCTAATAAGGTCTCAAACCTGTTATCCCAGCAGAGCAGCCCATGGTCCCAGTTCTTGACTCTATGACCTTCAGGGATGAACTCATCTGGGCCCTTCTCCTGGTGGTTTTTCTTTCCTGTGCATCCCTTAGAGGGTCTGGCTCTGCTGCTGTCAGATCCAGCAGTTAAGTCACATGTTTTCACAAAGAAAGTTTACTCCAGCAACTTCCTGTGGACACCAATCCACGTGGGACGTGTTTCAGGGACATACAGTGATGGTCAAGGATTGGGATTTAATAAACAAAAGGTAAATAGAAAATCCCACACACGTGGTGAACATATGCAACACAGCACGATATGTGCAGTTATTTCTGAATTTTGTGATGTTTTCAACTATTTAAGGAAAGTGGAGTTGGGTTTTGGCTGTCTTTTCTACTATGTTGTGGTGAGTTCTTAGTAGTGGAAGTTACAGCAGGAAAGAAAAGAGGAACAAATAAAGTAAATACAGAAGTTATTGTTTCCTGAGTATTAGGAGGTCAACAAGGAGATTATCTAACTAATTACCAGCCTCCAGTGCTCATCTAACCAGCTGTTGATGACTATAAAACACACCTGCTACCTGAAAGAACAGCAGCAAAATTAATTGCAAGTATCCCTGCTTGATATGCAATCAGTTTTCTGTCCTTGTGCATGTTGGGAGTTTTCCATTATGTTTGGAGCCTTGATCTGAAGGTTTTTGTGATGGCCTGGACTTTCTTTTTGCTTGTGGTGGTTGTGGGGAGGCAAGGACAAAATACACACTTCAGTTTATGACCTGGAGACAAAAAAAAGCAAAGTACCTGTGGGTACTTTCTGATTTCATGTAAAAGGTTGGAAAATTTTTGAATCCTTGTGTTGTGATTCAGCTTTGCACTGTGTTTAACTGAGCAGTGAGTGGTTCCTGGACTGAAGGGTGAGCTTAGGAATCCACGAGTCTTTTCTTTGGGTAACTACAGTGCTTAGCATTCAGATGGGAACTTGTGTATTGAGCCAAACCCAATTATTTGCAAATGAATTAGTGCCACGCATCCTCGGGGGGAGGACTGTGACACCAAGTGCTGGTTTAAAATGTCATCTTTTCTTTGGGAGAATTCTCTATAGATTTATTATTAACCATTTCCAATCTAATTTGAGGCAAACAGAAATAGGAATTCACTGAGGTTAGCAAAGCAAATTCTAACTTTGATAAAAGCCATAGCAGATTTCGGCTTGCTCCATTTTGAAAATCGTGGCGATGTGAAAAGCAAGCTTTTCACTAATATTTGGCATTGTAACCAGTGCTGGCACTCGTAGGCAGTGCTTTAATTATACATTACATTAACCAGTGTGAAATACTGAGCCTTATTAAGATAGCCAAAAGCTTTCTTTATAGTTGATTTATTAGAGCTTGAAATTAACTTTTCACAGTCCAGCTCGAAGAGATCAGTAGATATGGAAATTGAGCTCTGCCTGCAGTAAGTTTCCCCAGTTATCTCCAGTGCTCTCTCCAGTCCCTTGCAGTGCATCCACCCCCTGTAGAGACCCCAGACATGGCAAAACACTGGACATCAGCATCAGCTCTCACCCTCATACCTCCGTTATAAATGTCAGTGCCAATCTTGTGGTCCTTTGAAATGGTTTCCTGAAGAAATGGCACTTAAAAAAAACACCTTAGGCTCTGCCAGGTGTTCAGATGTGTGGCTGGGGGGTTGTACCAGGCTGGCTGATGCTGGAGATGTTCCACTCTGGTGTGTTTGCAGATGAACATTTTTGCTCCTCCTGACATGATACTTGGTCAGTGTATGGCTGGGATGTCAGGATATCGTTAAATATTGCTAAAACAAGTCCATCACCTGTAGAGCAGTAGAGAGAACTGCAGATCTCTGCCAGCTGAATGTGGGGAGTAGCTCCCAGCATGATGGCATCTTGCACTTTTGTCCTGCTGGAATGCTTCCCACAACCTGCCTGCATTTTCAGATTCCTGAACTCCCAGATATCAGTTCTCTGATTAAATCAGTGGATCTGAAGCTCCCACATCTCGTGCTTTGCTTCTATTTGATGTTGTGAGGCAAGCCACAGTCTGGAGCTTCAGGTACTGCAAGATATAATTTCCTTGGATTTAGGATGGCAAAAAAGGAGAGCAAGGCACTCAGAGCCCCTGGCTGGTGTGACTGTGTCTTCTGTTTACCTCGAAGAGTCTTCTACATCCTGCTCCTGTGGTGTCCCCAGAGAGGAGTTGTAGTTTTAGGTGGCTGAAAGCTACTGCCTTTCCTTTTCCCACTGAGCTGTTCAAGGGCAAAGCTCCTACACTTGGAGCTGCTGCAGCCTCCCCTCCCTGGTTCCTTGTGCCTTTCCTGCCCAATAACCACCTTCCCTACACCTCGGCCTTCTGTGGGATGAGCAGCTCTGCAGTGAGGGATGGTGCTTTAGCATCCTATGTCTGGGTGGCCAAAGCAGGGAGAAAATGGCACAACATCTGGAGTAAATCCATGCATTTAAATGGTGGTTGTGTGGGAAAGATGTCTAGTCAAACTTTGGGTCCCTCCATCAATAGCAGAGATAAACCTTTTGACTTTAAAATTTATCATCAGGATTACTTAAGAGGAGTGACATCTGTGCACCTGTGCTGTGCCCAGTAGCTTTTTGCCTTCTTAGTGGTTCTTTGAGTTTTCAGGGTCTGTTGGTACTAAGATACTCGCCAGCATGGGCAGTGGTGTCACAGCCTTGCCTATGGATGTGGCAGGGAGGGAACCTCTGCTTCTTATTTTAGAAGTAGCTGTGTCATTCATTAGGGTGATCAGTGTATTCTTTCTGTCAGCTCCTGAATGGATGGGAAATGCCACTCTCCACAGAATGTGTAAGATAGTTTTTGGAGTTTTTCTCTCTCCTTTTTTTTAATTACACTGTTACACTTGACTTGCCCAGATGGGCACCAGCCTGATGGAGAGTAGGACCAAATCAGCACGGGGTGGGGGGGAAGAGCAGAGAGGCAGCGCCGTTCTGTTTAAATTAAAACTGAGCCACATCAGAATGTTGCCAATTAAAAATAAAATGAATGACTTTGCTCTCTCTGTAGGTGACCTGTCTCCATGATTTCTTTGGGGATGATGATGTGTTTATCGCCTGTGGTCCAGAAAAATTCCGCTATGCACAGGATGACTTTTCTCTGGATGAAAGCGGTAACATCAAACGCACGCTGTGGTTTTATTTCATTTCCATTCAGTTGCTTGTATCAGATAATAATGCTGCATGCTTCTATTCTGATTTTTGAGACCCAGTACATGGAATTTAACATCCTTTTGTGATACTTATCCAGTCAGCAGATATTATAATCAGGCAAATACTGGCTGAGGTAGCCCAAGTCAGAACAAATTAACTCCTGCTCCATTTGACATTTACTACAATTGTATCCTTTCGATTTTCTCCAGTTACAGTCGGAGAGATAAATTTTTCCTGAGAACTAAACCTCCTTATGTAGACAAGTAAATATTAAAAAAATGGGGAAAAGCAACAGTTAAAAAAAAAATAATCACACTTCCACTGCTTTCTTCTGCTGATTCAAAAAGCAGGGCAATAATTCCCTTTTGGAGGGGGACACAACTGTGACAGCACCATTATTTGTCCCTGTTACAAGTGCAAGCAGAGGTCTGTAATAATGTGAGTCTCTATGATCAATTAAGCCATGAAATCATTAATTTCACAAAATATACAGAACTTGCCTGTAGGACTTACCACCCATCCCACCTGGCAACTCTATCCACCAAGAGCACATGCTGCCTGCAGGTGCTAGTGAGTGCAATAAGAGGAAATTAATGTTATTTTGACCATCTAAACTATAAAATGTGCCCTCCAAGTATTTAGGTTCATTTCCCAAAGCTCTAGGTATCCTGTATAAGGAACTCAAGTTCCCTGCTGTCCAATCTGCTACAAACTGGTTTGGTATTGAGGACCAAAGAGAACTTTAGCTGTATGCCAGAAAGTCAAGCAGCCTCTAATCTTCAAGCATTATGTTTTTATGATTCCTTTGCAAGCCTGATTTTATTTAACGCTGGTGCTTCTGACCTATGTACTCCAGATGAACCCATTTTGATGGTCTTGGGTAATTAAGAGAAAATTTTCCAAGGTTCAGCTGAGACTTTGTAGGCAGAGAATAAAGCCTGTGTCAGGCTGGGGAAGCAATCTGTAACCTGAGCTTCATATTTTTTTTAACACTCAGCAGTTGAGTCAGCTCCAGCGGGAGTTCCACACTGTAAAACAGTTTGGATGCAATCCTAGCAGAACAACTTGATGGGAAGCCCAGCTCTCTGCCTACACTCCTGGTTACTACTCACTTTTCCATATTGGATTTCTCTCACATAAATAAGCCAAGCCTGCTGTTGGGAAGGCACCAAGTACCTGCAGCTCCCAGAGGAATTTTGAGGGGAGCAGGGGTGCCCTGCACCTCCCAGGAAGCAGACGAGGAGCTGTTAGCCAGCAGCTTTTTCCCGTTATACATCCATCATCCTTCCTTGTTACGAGTCAGATGCTGCAAGGAACTGCAAATCCTGAGGTTTTGCAGATGACTGTCACTTACTAAAATCTCCTCTGTCATGGGGAACTTTTTCTTGCCTGTTTGGATGACACACACCGGGGTTGCCGGTTATTATGTTCGCTCTGGCAGGACATCAGGAAACAAAATGAGAAATAGCATAAGAGAGGATTATGTCATCTTTTTCCTCTTGACTGCCCACCACAGATTCCACCCTGCTGCTGAGCACCCTCCAGATGACATTGCTCTGTCCGATTTGTACCCACTGGTTTCAAGACCAGCCCATGGAAATGTCACACCCTGGTGATGTTTGGAGGCCTGTTTAGAGCAACTTCAGCACTGTCAGGTCTCCACCTTCAGAGCCTTTTTTCCAGATGTGCAAATGCTCAGTGGTTGCTTTTGGTGTACTGACACTTGCCAAGGGCTGAGCTGGAGGAATTCCTCAGAGTCAGCCTTTTTGTGCTAGAAAATGCAAAGCTGGTTTTCTTTTCAAGGAATTACTCCCCTGGGAAAAAAAATAAATTTGGAAGCTCTCACAAGGACGTAATATGAAGCATTTTTACTTTTTATGTATATTTTTTTAGTGAGTAATTCAGGTGACTGAACACAGCTGCCTGACATCTCTTGAGTCCTCCTTGGTTTCTGGGATACCCATGTGATATAGGATTGACAGATTCGGTGCCTATGGCCAGGCAAGTGAGTTGTGCTCCAAGATCCAAATGTTGCAATGCTTTTTGTCAATATCCAAGAGCCTTGAAAAATAAAACTTCTGCAGTGACTGAAGAGGATATTTCCTCCTGTTTTGTCTCAGCTGGTTAACACAGTGGCTGGTTGTTTCGGATTGTCTCATGAAACACTGTATTCTTTAGGATCAAGGAGGAATAGTCTACCTTCCATGCATCTCCCCATCCCCCAGCATCAGTACTGCTCTTCATGTATAAAAAATTTGGGCTATATTAGTGCTGGACCTCTACAAGCCTTTCTATGACATCATATGTGAGAAGTCAAGTACTTTTGGGAAAAAACCAAAACAACATGCGCACACAAATTTTTCTATCCCCGATTTACAATTTCCAAAACCGTTTATCAGGGGAGAAAATAAACTCATTGTAGGTTTAATTATTGCTGTGCAGTATCCCTGGAGCACAAGGCATCCTCTCCTCATATTCTTGTACTGCATGACCCGAGAGCAAACTCTCTTGCAAACCATCCGGAAGGAGAAGAGACAGACTCGCGAGTGTCTGAGAATGAGGAAAGCCTGGGGAAAAATTTAAGGCAACTACATTTTCATAGATGTACTGATATGTAATTAAATAACACATACATTTAGGTCAGACAGCTTGTTTTCAGTTGACCAGTTATTTATCTGGTGTGTGCTGCCTTAGCTGATTCCCACTGGAGAATCCAGTCAAGAGGGTCCTCAGTGCAGAGCTGAGCTGAACTTTTCTATTAGAAACTGTCTGTATGAGGAACATGTAATTCACATCTGTAAAAAATTCACCTTTTACATCTTGGTGAGGACAAGCTGTTGTAGGAGATGAGGTGAGACCCGTTAGCATTTGACAAAAAGGAAATTCCCTTTTTATTGTCTTCTTCTTAACTGGGTTAAGTTAATAACTTGAGGGGTGGAAAGTTCTTTTTCTGTTAGCTTTCAATGTAAATAAACCCTGCTTTTGAAGACCTGGCATGCCTGAAATCCTGGGACACACAGGGGTTTGTTAGCATTTCAGTTCCTTTCTGCAGGACCCTCTAGATCATGTTTACATTTATCCCTCTTCCTGGCGTATTTATTTTTCAAGAAAACACAGTTGGGGTTCTCATCTGCTCATGTCTTCAAGTGCATAAATCTGCTGGGCTTGTTTATACAAACCTTTCTGAAAGGGATGACTGGCCAGGACAGAGGATGTATTTTGTAGAACCATTTTTTCTTCTTTCCTTTCTGCATCTGAAAAGCTCCAACTTGTTGAGACAGAAGAGGCTGATTCAGGCTGGGTGAGAGTCTCCTGGGGCAGATGTCCAGTCTGCCACTTGGAGACTTTACACCATGCCATGAGCTGTTTCCTGGCTTTCTGCACCTGCATAAATTGCAGTCACCACTCCTCCTACTAAATCTTCATGGAAGGGTTGCAAAAATCAACTGGATTTTTTGGCCTGATTCATCACTCAGTGTTGACTCATTGTGCTCACTAGTCAGTGAGAACCATGGCAAGGGCAAGGGCAGAAAATGTTTGCTAGGACACAGGTATGGAGACAGGCCCTGCTAGACCCAGCCTGGCACCTCTGCTGTCTTAGCACCTCCTCTAGAGGAGCTGAGCCGTCCTCTTTTCCCTCCCCTTGAAAGGTCTCCTTTCAAATGTGCTGATGTCAGCTTTTCCCCTTGCCCTCGATATTTGCCTTTCGGAGACAAAGCACTGAGCTGCCCAGGGGTGTTTCATACCCTCTGTCCATGGGCACAGGGCCATAACCACGGTTGCTGTGTGTTCCCCCAGAGTGCCGGGTGATGAAGGGGAGCCCTGCAGCTGCCACGGGCAGTAAGTCCTCTCCCACCCCTCAGAAGAGCTCGGCGAAGAGCCCAGCGCCCATGCGCCGCAGCAAGTCTCCAGCCGATTCAGGTAACCATCAAGATGGTGAGTGATTGTTTCTTGGTGTCTGAACATCGACTGTGCTCGAGGGAAAGACACATACTGTGTGTGTTTTGCATAGGAAACCCTGGTATTCTTTTGAAAACAAGAAGCTGGTGCTACAGGGGGCACTTAATAAATGTTGGAAAGGAATTCTCTGGTTGGTTAAGTGCAGTTGTGGCTTGAGGTTGTACCACCCACAGTCTCACAGCCCCTTACAATATTTTAGAAGAAGTTTCCACTTCACAGGCAGGAAATCAAGGCCCACAGTGCTCCCAAATGTCCCCTATAGATACAGACTGATTTAGAATAACCTTCTGTGCAAAGCTAGTGGTAATTATTGTACAGGTCAGAAGTGGCTTCTAATAGTTATTAAAAGAAGACCAGTGATCTTGCAACTGGAGAACTGGTGATGGGTTTATTGATGTGATCCTGAGACAGTCACTCACTAATAAAAGAGAAGGAAAAATGGGAATTTGCTGCTGCAGCTTGCACCACTTGAAAAACCTCCCTCCTCCTTCAGTAGCCCCTGGACTGGTGGTGTGGCACACCTGGAGAGCTGCAGAGCCTGGCGATTGAAGGTTGGGTTGCACATTGTAGTAATTATAGTAACTGATAGTTTTTAGAGTCATGGAAAGTTCCTAGAGTCACGATGAATATCTAGTGTGTCATCTGCTTGCCTGTTCTGTTCCAAAAGAGAACCAGACGTGGCCTTTCACTAAAATGGCCAAAGCACAAAAAAAAGGACACCAGGATTCCAGGAGAGCTTCATATCTTGAATTCAAGTGACCCACAGCATTAACACAAGTGATATAATAGAGAAATTACTTTTCCCCCTCATGCTAACACACAACATATTGCATGGGAACACCACACAACAGCTGACCATCAGTAGACACTGGATTATTGGATATAAAATTCTCTTGACAGTAATCAGAAGGATTTTCCCCAGGAAGCAGTTTGATTTTTTAGGGTCTCTTGGTTGGTTCTTTAGCTGCTTAAAAGGACAGTGTGAAATTGGTTGGCACATGCCAAGACACTGTAATTTTAAAAAAAAGGTATTTCTCTGTAAGGGGATTTTACGTTCATAAAGTTTTTCTTCAATATACCAGTGTAGGTTGTTCTTAAACTCAGGCTTGTTATAATCTAAAAAGCTTTTGCAATCCCAAATGCCTGGTAAAGTTGTCTGGGTACATTGAAGGCATGGTGGAAATTATGTTGTTGATTTAAAAAATCCCAAACTAACATTCATTGATCTGGGCATCAGCTCATGCATGAGTTGTGAAACATCATTTAAACCTTCTCCATAAGCATCAGGTACTAATTACCACCAGAACAAGACTTTATTGCATGAGAATATAGTCTAATGTGAAATGGCAACTATTGTGTTCCTGATTTTAACTGATTGAGTGACTTACAGGAACAGAATGGTGACTCATCTGATGAGGTTTAATGAACACAGTCAGCAGAGCTTTTCAGAGGGAGATTAAAATAACCAGGAATGCTGAACAATAGCCAGTTCCTGGAGTTAAGGCCAGTAATGAAGGACAAATCAGGTTTCTTTAATCCATCCAGACAAGGGTCTTTCGTACTTTCCTGTAATTTCAAGACAGGAAGAAATGGCAGCCCGTCCTGTTTAATAAGAATGAAAAAGACTGAACTCCTTCAGCATTGGAAGATGGAAGATTTGTTTACTCAGGACAGAGAGAAAAAAGAATACAGTTTTGTATTCTTGTCTTGAATTTGTAATAATTTAAGTGGATTTACACATCATTTAAGAATCAATGTTTACATTTAGGTGGATTTTGAAGTTATCACATTAAAAAGGCAAGGAATGCTTACTGAAGCCTGATTAATAAAAGATTACCTGACTTTTTTTCCCCCCACAGAATTCTCACCCATTTAATTTGTGAAACTGTTTAAAAACAGTTTTACTTCAAATATATATATTTTTTTTGCTCTGTGTTTGCTCTCCTACCCATTCATACTTTCTATCTTTGCTGTCTTTCACTCTGCTATGGTGATATCAGATATATTGTCATATCAGAACCTTTAGTTTCCTTGGTTTTGTGTTGTTAGTTTCTGTTCTCTGCAGTTCTTCTCTAAGCAGGTTTCTGTACCCTTTTTTCCCACCAAAGTCTCTAAGGCCATTGTGACATATCTGGGCACTGACATAAATGCAGATTCAGAGGTAAATCTCCATGCTGCTTCAGTGAAAGAATTCTGAACCCTCCTCATTACAAACACACTGCAGTTACAGAAAAGGATGTTATTTTCTTCCATTTCTCATCCTAATTATTCCATTCCCCCACTAAAGCATATGGAAAATGGTACATTATTTATAAGCAGCAAAAATGAGAATGCAGTGGAGTTCCATGTGGACAGTGGTTGCATGCATTGCCTACAGAGGCAGCTGAGGCTTAATTCAGGTTTGTATGAACTGTGATAAATTCTTTGGCTGTCTTGTTGCAGCAGTCCTGGCAGCAAACTACGTAAGTGGTCAGGTCCCATTCCAAAATAACACGGATTAATTTAGAGTAACAGAGAACACACAGACAAAATATTTTGTAAAAAAGTGTCAGGACAAGAGGGTGTGGACAGAAGTACAACAGCACAGAGAGTGCCAGAGTTCACTGGCTGAACCGGTCCCTTCTGCCAGAGGGAATTTGCCTCCTGCCTCGATGTGTCATGGCCTCACTGTGAAAAGCTCACTTTCCCCTAGGCAGCCAGAGCTCTTCAGCTCCAAGGATATTCAAAAAGTGAGGCAGCTAATCCACAGGAACTTGTTAAATGCTGTTTTCTTGGGGCGGTACCTTCCCCTTTATTTACCGCACAGTCATTCAAAGGAACGAACGAGTGAGAATTGAATGAATGAATGAAGAACGAAGAAATGTCTTGCTAAAAGCAGATGGCAACAGACCCCAGTCCTTATATTCCCAAGGGGAATCCTTTCTTCCTTCTCTCATTAACCCCCAAATATATATATATATACATATATATATATACCTTTTCTGGTTAGACCCAGCTATTCCTCCAGACTCTGTGTTGATCATTCCATCAGGGGACTGTTTTCACCTCTTGGTTCAGTTCAACTGGAAGGCCCTGGCTGCTTTGCCAGCAGCTCCACTGGGCTTCCAATATATCCTCTACTTTCCAACCTCTTTGGTACTGGAGCTGTGACATAGCCTTTCATCTACATCCTCCACCCATCTCTCACATCATGTTGCTTCCAGCAAAGTGCACTTAGCAAAATACATGAGGATTTTACTTCTCTCCCTTCAACAACGTATCCAAGTGCCTTTCTCTTTCTCCCAAATGTTACCTATGAAAGCTGAACCTAGTTTCTCATATATCAGGTGTGAATTGAGATATGGATGGGATTGGTGTCTCTGTCTGGCCTTAGGTGAGCTTGAGTTGTTGTGTTTCAGTACAAACTGAACATGCAAGAAAGACACAGGCAAACTAGAGAAAACCCAGAAGAAATTTTCTCTAGAAACTGCTTTGGAAGCAAAAGTTGAAGGAAATGGATTAATCCAGGTTAGAGAAAAGGAAAATTGAGAAGGGACAATGTAACACTCTCCAAATTCATTTGAAGTATTGAAAAGAGGATTTTCCTGTGTGCCAGTGAGGGATAGGACAGGACATTGGTTTAATCTTTAATAAGAGATATACAGATCGGATATTAGAAATACTTTTCAATTGTAAGTAACTTAATTACTGCATCAGGTCTCTCAGGGAGCCTGTGAGTCCCTGTCAGCCTTCGTGCAGTTAAAAAATAAGATCTCTGCCAGGGATGGCCCAAATATATTTGATCCCAATTTAGAGCACAAAATTGGAGTTACAAAGCTTCTATGGTATTTCTAGCCTCGATTTTTCTTTCTATAGAGTCAGTTTTGCTAAAAGGCATAGCTTAGAGCAGTGAAATCCATCCCTCTCCTAAGATGACAGAGGAAAACTGTACATAAGGAGGGAAGTCACTGTGCTGCTGCTATGGTCCATGAGATTTAAATGGAATAGAATCAGCATGAGGTTTGGCAAAATTTCTTTAACAGACTGCTCCAATAAGGAGTCAAACCAAGGAAAAGACAGAGCTGAAGCTCTGGGGAGAAATACAGGGGAGAAAATAATGATGTCATTTGCCATTACTTCTTTGTTATAAAAACGTATCTTACAATAACTCACATACCAAACAAGGTATTTGTTTTATAACAAATTTTATATTTCAGTTTTATAACGTGTCATGATAGGAGAGTTAATGATTTTTAAAACCAAACCTTTGCAGGAGAGAGCCACAGGTACCTGAACTGAAATTTGAAAATGTCTTTGCCCAGTTTTGCCTTGATTTGGCTCAAGGAGAATATGGGGCACTGCTGCAAGACCTTAATTTCTCAGTCCTCTAATGGGAAGGTTTGGATAGAGGGACAAAAGCATATTCACAAGGCAGTAGCAATTAGCAAAACAGACACAGAATGTCAGTCTGTCCTGACTGCAGAGCTGGCTCCCCGGGGTCATTATATATGAATGTGTTAAAAAGGCAGCAGATGTCTTTGGGATTGCACATGAGAGACAGCAGCTTGTTCTCTCGCTTGTGCTATGTATGTTCTGCTCACTGACAGTCCACACTGTACATCCAGGGAGAGATCCCCTCACAAAACCTGGTATGAAGAGGATACCAGCACTGCAGAGCTGAGGGGTTGGAAGTTTGGAGGTGCCTGAGCGAGGGATGCCTGTGCAACCTGAATTCTTCCACTCTTGAACAAACAGTACAATGGAGCCTTTATTTTTCCCATGGCTCCTCTGTCCTGGAGTGCAGGAGGGCTCATGCTCACTAAACAAGCTGTTATTTCTACATTTGCTTCAGGCTGTCCTTGTTCTGCTTGTTCCCTCTCTTTAATTTCTTGATGACACTTCAAACCCTGACCTGGGGACAAACCTATCTATGTATTTTGTGATTCTTTCTCTCATTCTTGTGGTGTATGAGCATGTGCTCCTTGAACTAGGAACTCATCTGCTGAATCCTGGGAACCCCAGTCAAGCAAGGAGCATTAACCTTATTTTACAAATTGCTGGAAGTAGATATCTCCATACCTTTTGAGCACTCACTGTGATCCCCGGGCCCTGCTTTTTCCACTTCTGTATGTTGATAGAAAGGGGAGTTCAAAAGATGGACCTCACTAACTTCATTCACAGATCTTGGTGCTCATCATCACTGGAAGTTCAGGTCCAGAGTCCCAGTCATCCAGACAAGCCTGAGCAACACAGAACAATTGCATATGGGAATTTTGGCTAAAAGGGGTCCTACAAGAAGGCTGAAGAGGGACTTTGACAAGACCATGGAGTGATAGGACAAGGAGGAATGGCTTTGATCTGAAGGAGGGTAGTTTTAGATATTAGGAAGAAATTAGGGTGGTGAGGTCCTGGCACAGGTTGCCCAGAGAAGCTGTGGCTACCCCATCCCTGGAAGTGTTCACAGCCGGGTTGGATGGGGCTTGGAGCAACCCTGGATAGTGGAAGGTGTCCCTGCCCATGGCAGGGGGTGGGATGAGATTCTGTGACTCTGTGATCCTAAAACATCTGTGGGAGAAGGAGACAGAGAATTCAGCTTATCTGGATCTTTCATAGCCATCTCAAACATGACATGACTATTCTCCCTCATCCCTCTCATGTGCTGGACAAGCCTGATTTCTCTCAAGTACAAATTGCCTTGTGCACTGGAGGAGATAAGGAGCCTATGAAAACAATGTAGTGCACATGTGCATGCAATTAAAGGATGTGTTATATGCACAAAGGGCCTTTAAGGTAGATTGGGCTTGCAAAGCAAATACAATGACATAAATAAGACATAAGACACAAACAACAACATAGTGGGAAAAAACCCCCAAAGAATTCAAATAAAAACTCGTTATAAAGAATAATTCCCATTAGCTGAGTGTAGGTGAGATCCTGAGCTATCCTAAGTCATCAACAGATTTTAGTGGAGCAGCAGCATTACACACCACCTGGGATCTGCTCTTTGCCTCTTGATATTTTTTTGCATTTCAGTTCAAAAGAAATGCAGGCAAGTTTGCTTATGAACACTGTTCTTCATTACCAGACATAGAGAAAATTAAACTGGGCTTCTTAATTGTTGCTCCTGCTGCAAAATTGTACTGTATTTGTAATGATATCCATCCATCTCATTCTATTTCTGATTTGGATGTCACATCTGTTTTTTTGTTGATGCTCATAAAATATTAATATCCCTGCTGTAGCACTTAAAAGTCTTATTGTATTAGGGAATTTCTATCCTTCTCTGCAGCAATTACATCCATTTGCTGCATGCTGACTGTTTGCTGTTCTTCCAGTCTTCCTCTTTGGGGAAGGGAAATTTTGGTTCTTTGTAGAGTTGTTAGGTGGCATGTTTCATCTTAGGATGATCAGTGACAACTGAAAATAAATAAAGAGGCTTTTTAGGCATCGGAGAAGGATTCTAGCTAATACAGATTATATTAGTAACTATTCTATCCCACGTTTTCTTTAATAGGAAACACAAAGTCACTTGGTGAAATAAAACATAAAAGAGATCCAAGTTCTTTTTTACTGAATTGCCTTCATTATATGGCTTATAGTTAGAGAACTCTACTTTTTTTCCCCAGCAGCCTCGAGGGCAGCTCACTTTGCAGAACTGGAGCACAGTGAAGTGTCACAGCACAGTGCAGGGACTGGCATGTAACAGTCTCTGGGTTTCCATAACTAGTTTTTTCCCCCTACCAATAGAGAATGGTCTGAGTGGAATGGGGAGGTAAAGGCTCACTCTCTTCCCTAATTATCTATAAAGCATTATTTCTACCACCTTTCAAGAAATCAAGAAATTTCCTCAGTGAGGCGCGTTTGCAATGGGAAAAAAAAGCTGTCTGTGATGAATATCCTCCTCTTCCCAACAGAGGAGGGAATGCACAGAGATGAAGACAGAGGACCCACATCACCATAAATCGAGTCTGAGCTGCTCTCCTGTGCTGATAGCTCCTCCTTTGTCCTGAGGCTTACACGTTTCTCTACACTTATTTGAACTCACTTGTATGACCTCTCCATTTGGGTCAGTGATACTACAAACCTGAGCTACCCCCTCCTCTTTCTCACAAGAAGGTAACAGAGAAGAAGAATGAGGCTATCGTAGGCATTAAAGCAAGAGTTGTGCTGGTTTTGCTCTTAAAAGTACGACACCCATATACAATCTTACTATATGATACTTTATACACTTCTTCAGTCCCCTCCAGACACTCAAGTACTTGCTGTACTTGCTTATTTTTAAGTACCCCATTTGCAGATTCAGCTATTACAATTGAAAACATAAAGTGCTGAAATCATCCACCCTCCTCTGTGCTTGCCTTTACAGTTAGAGAAATGATATAGAGAGATACTGGGCACTTTGACAGCAGGACAGCCAGCCTGGAGTATCACGTGCTCGCTTTCTGTGTGAAACATCAACACAATTCAAAATTCCTTCCTTAAGGGCAGGGATTTGTGTATTTATCTGGAGGGCCGGCAACACTACAGCCATTTAAGGAAATGACAATCAAAATATTTGAGGTTTGGTTTTGTGGCTTGTGCTGAATACATAAACATCTGGAGTAGGTTTTGGAAATGCCACTTTCTATAGACTTGACTGGGATATGTAGTTTAACGCTAATAAGGCCTCCAGCTGCATGGATTGCAAAAAACAAAAGGCCAGAAAGGACAATACCCTTGGACACAGCCAGCATGAGTCTGAATTCCCTCGAGTAAGGCTACTTGTGCTGATGGAGCTTTGTGTTTAAACCCCTGGTAACAAGAGAATCTGTATCCCTGGAGCTGATACCTGACCTGTGAATGACCAAATTCACTATGGGTAAGCATGTCCTTAGGAAAAAGGTATTGTGACACCTAGCAATTATCAGAGGCATTAGCTCACGCCAGTGAACATCAGCGGTAGGAAAAAAATTGATTTATCCTTATTCCATTTGGTTTCCCTTCATTTTTTCTGCATAATATGCTATTTACTTTGATTCCTTTTTAATCCAATAAATGCATAACAGCTTGCCCTGCCATAGACCCATGCCCTTCACTTTTGAGTAAAACCCAGGCCTGTGGAAGCCTGGAACAGTCATTCCAAAAGTCATTTGGTTTAAATGAATAACATTTTTTTTTTAAATTGAGAATAACTATGTTTTTTTTTCAAGGCAACATGAACAAACAAATCAACCCAAAAGACCAGATTTTGATCTTTGCAAAGGATTGTTTCTTGATGTAATTCTCCTGTTCCTCCCCTGATAGACCATGTCCACTTCTCTGGTGCAGGCAGCAGAGGAAGAGCAGAGATGTGTCATGTCCACCAAGGCTTCAGAATGGCTCTTTGGTCATTGAATCCCACGCACAGCTACCACACCCAAGGCATTTCAGGCTGCTGTTTGTCCAATTTGTAATCATCTAACATTTCCTGTCTAGGATTCAGGATATCTTCAGCCTCTGGTTTCCACACGCCCTTAAACTGTTTGAGAACACAGACATTGTCTTTCTGTTTTTGTGATGATGTGTATCTTGGATCAATTTGGTGGATGTTTGCTGTGTAAAATACTGCTCCTTCTATTTATTTTCTATTCCACTGTATTTTGCAGTCAATTACCCTGAGTAGCTGAAAGCCTTGAGTTAGGTTAATAGCCATGGTATTTGTTTGGATTTTTTTCTCCTCCCTAACATGAATAAACTATAGTGTTTCTGTGTTAAATGTTTGGAGACCTTCCATCTCCCCAAAGGAGAAAGATCTTCCCCTTGCTTGTCTGATTTCTAGCTTCTGTCTTGTTTTCTGTCAGCAAACGGGACCTCAAGCAGTCAGCTGTCCACACCCAAATCCAAGCAGTCCCCGATCTCCACACCCACCAGCCCAGGGAGCCTCCGTAAGCACAAGGTATTACGTTTCTTATACCTTACTACATCTGTTTCTGCCTTAGTCCACTCAGACTTTTGTGACACTTAAGCCATGGCCATATTCTCTGGAAGCACAACTCCTTGTGTTGAAACAGTGGAGTTTGGCCCTTTACCTGAAAGGGTTGTCACTTCAGACTCTGCAGGATAGTGAGCAACAAATCATTGGCCTGTTTCCTGTACTAGAGTTATTAATGTGTGCTGGAGAGCATCCAGATGGATCAGAGGAGAGAACTTAACCCTGAGCTTGTATCACTATTTGAAAAAGTTATTGATGGATATGGTTTCATATAAATCCTCCTCTCTTGGAAAGCCTCAATTGTTGGCAAATCCAGTCGATTAAACAGCAGAAGCAATGCAAATGTTACTGAAGCTCTAAGACATCGCTTTAATGATGCTCCTCAAGAATTTATTTTTTTTAATTATTTAAGAGCATGCTCTGTTTTACAGGAACCAGATGATTTTTTACAGCTGATGTGGTAACTGTGATCTGGAACAGTAGCTGGTTTTCCTGGTCACAAACAGCATGTCTAACAGGTAGCACAGCATCCTACTAAAGATCTGTAAACCTGTGCTGGCTCATAGATAATTCATGTATTGATTTATTTAAAAGGTACAGCAACTGTCACAGCTTTTTTAGTTCCTGTTGTTCAGTGTCATTCTGTGCTGAGTTCAGACTTTGCATTCCTGGAATAGCCATAGTGCTGCTTCCACCAGCCTTCACTTGATAGGAACTTGGACATAAATGTAGGTGTGAGAGGAGGTCAAGGAGATTTCTCTTTAGTAATCAGAATGCACCTCTCATCCTGAGAGTGATTTTGAAAATATTGACTTGAAATTCTGGAAGTGTAATTTAAAAATTCTGGTAGTGCTGAGGTTTTGCAGTCAGCAGCCACATGGAATCTACTGTAGGCTAAATTGCATGGGCTGGGCTCATTTTGGTTAACAAAGGGGTAGCTGAATTCAAATGAAGTCTGTTTTCCTCAGGACTTCACTCTGATCTCAGCTGCTCAGTCCAGGTCTGAGGAAATAAACCAATTTTACACAAAATGTGTCCAGATTCATTATTAATTTACAACTGAGAACAGAATCTGGCCCATGGTCTGAATTCAACAATTGCTTGTGTATATTCAGCAGGAGTAATGCTGTAAACTGCATCCTCTGCTTCAGCAGCAAGGACCTAAAATGCTTTCCAAACATTATCCCATTTAGAACTGTGGAGATGAGGATTTGCTTCCTGGCAAAGACCAGTAAAACTCACCTTTTTAACGTATTATGTGTGCTTTCAGCTGGCTGGTTTATGACCTTTTCCAATGAAGCCCCGAGAATATTTGTGATAGAGGGTGACTGCTGAGGGCAAAGCCAATCCAGTATGATTTTCTCCACTAAGTTAAGCCAATCAGCAAACTCGAATGCAGCATTTTAGGTTACCAGAATATTCACGCATCATTGTCTTTCTCCCAGGAGCAATTTCCTGCTTATGATGAAATCTCTTCTTTTTTTTCCCCTTAAAGCTCAAATGGTAAATGCTTGAGTACACCACAAATTCCTATTTCACCTCTCCTTACATCAAGATTTCGGTGAATTTCCTTCCTGAGTATTTGGGGTTCATTTCATTGTGCTCACAGTTATTACCTGTGTGTGGGTCAGAGTCCAAACAGGTCCCAGGAGAGTGTTAGCCCTTGAGCTGGTTTGTGTTCCTAACTCTATGCAGAACTTTGAGGAAGCGGAATAAGATGGTTATCCAAGAAAGGGACCCTGGAAAAGCTTTACATTCAGCATCTGATCCAAATAATAACCTTGGGATTGTTTTCTTAACCTTTCTCATTGATCAGAAATTACTTAAAATAAGGAATAAATCATGGAATGTGATTTTCCTAGAGATCTGTCCTGAAAGTAACTTTCAAATTAAGGTAAGGCTCTTTATTTTGGACATAGGTTCAAAGATACCTGTTTAAGGCAAGGTCCTGCTCTTGCATGCATGTGTTAAAATGGACACACTGATCCAGAAACAAAAAAAAAATCAGTTCTCAAACTTATCCCTGAACAGACATCTTTCTTCTGGCACCAAGATGCTCGTTTCACTCTGTGAGTATCATGTCTTGATTTTAGCCTGGTCAGACCAGTCCAGTGCACGAGTGCACGAGTCTTCCACCCTGTCCCTATGAACTGCACAGACCTGGGCCACTCAGCTGCTTCCTTATGCACGGCCAAAGGTGGAAACTCATTGTGAGAGTTAACATTTTCTTCTTTCTCCCTACAGGACTTGTATCTGCCTCTGTCTTTGGATGACTCTGATTCCCTTGGAGATTCCATGTAGAGCGACACGGAGCTAAATGTCCATATTGCAAGCATTGTCTGAGATACAGCAAAGCACTTCTGCCAAAATAAGCAGATAGGTGACTGGTGCTTTCAAATCAAAGGACACACAGTTATATGTCTTTTTTTTTTTTTTCCTGTGATTTATCCTCTGTGCCACAAATCAACACCTGCCAGTCTATAGAGATAGAGGGATACCATTCGTCTAAGTTACAGGGATGCAAAATGGACATTGTGAAAAATTTGGGGCATTTTCGTGCATTTCCCACTTTCTTCTATTATTTCTTCTTCTGCTGCAGCTATGTAATTTTCCTAGTGATAGTAAAGTAGCTCCCCTGGAAGTGTGCAAATGGATCCCTTGCTGACCAGTTTGCAAGCTCAAGTAGAGCAAATGATGTTCTCCACCTGCCCAAACTGCCAGCATTTGCCAGCTCACCTGTTCCTGATTTACAGCCCAAATTTAGCACCTGCATACTAACTAGTATTGGTTTTATTTTTGGAGGGCAGGAAGGGAAATGACTTACTAGTTTGATGCTTAATATGCCAGCAGAAGCTTGGCTGAGATTAGGAATGGTTGTGTAAGATGCTAAGTAAGGTTAGTACAATAATTCAAATTATTCAAATATTGGGATTTTAAAAAAAAACTTAAGCAAAAAAACCATAAATCAGTTCTCTGGAGTGGAACACCTTCCACAAACAACCCAAGGGTACTGCTAGATGGTAAGAAATATTTATACCTCCCCTATGGTATCTCTCTATCTCTGTTTGTAACAGTAATGCCTTGTGAACAGCCAACACTGAAAACACTGTGAGAATTTGTTTTCAGGTTTGACACCCTATAGATCACTTTTTATAGCAAAAAATCAATACACTTTTTATAAAGGAAAACCTTGTATCTGTGTTTTGGGAGTAAGGATTCAAGCTCCTTCTTTTTTATAAAAGCTGGTAATTTTCATTTGTTTAAAAAACACGCTCAGAAAAAAAAAAAGTACAAAAAAACAACCACAACTGCAGAACAATAATAACAGCAACTCAGTTTAGAAATCTTGTCATCACTGCCAAAACAGACACATGTAGGGGAAAACAAAAGGTCAATTCAAAATATCGAATGTTTTGATAGTTTTTGTAATGTTTAAGACTACATATTTGGTTTTTTTACACTTCAGTATTCCTAACTATGGCCAGATTCTCTACTTATATAAAAAATTGAATTTTGTGGTGTTAACCCACCCCCATATTTTAAGAAACTCTTCTATCTGATAAAAACAAACTTGCTGTATTTAGAGAAACCTTTTGCTTTTATTAATCAGTAGTGACTCCTACAGAATGCAAAGTTCATCTCTTCACACAGGGCTGGTGGTTTTTACTACACTGAAGCTTTGTCATAGGCCAGCTGGCATTGCCTCCCTTCCTCATGGAATAAGCTTTGATGGAACTGATTATTACAGAACTTTACCTAAATGAAATCTGTGCAATCAAATATTTCTTTGTTGCTCTATTTGCCTTTCTTTTTTTTTTTCAACATAGACATCTGTTCCTATTGCCTTGCAACCCCTTGTGATTGGAATGAATTATACTGTTGTGATGTTTGATGCTACATGGATGCTGGGTTGTTCCCAAAGCCACTCCACGTTTTGTTTGCTTGCATTGCAGGTATGAAACAATCTGTGCAGGCTGCATCTTTAGAGGTTCATGTGATCTTACATAGAATGCAACTTAAAAAAGAGATTTATCAGAGAGAGGTCAGGACTGGGAATTATCAAGGGGTCAGAGTTATCATGCACCAAATTTGCACCCAGTAGTCTTAGTGCATGGTCATTTACACCCAGAGTTTTGCACCAGAAATCATTTGTTCTTACTAATAACTTCATTTAATTTAATAACTCTCTGACTGCACGACTGCTAAATGATCATTTTACCTATTGTAAATAGAATCCTGGGGTTAGTTCAAAGGCTAAGGGCTCGTGTAGAAGGATGGTAGTGTGGACAAAGCATAGGTGCAGTAGTCAGGACACCTTTCAGCTCTTGGCATTGCTAAATTTAGTGTCTGAATGGGAGCAGGTCTCTTGGTAACCCTGTGCCTCAATCTGTCTGTCTGTCCCTGCAGGGACAGCACTGTTCTACCTCACTGGGGGTTGTGAGGCCAAATGTTGGTTAACATTTGTACAATGCTTTCAGATCCTCTAATAGAAGGTGCTGAAGTATTCTGGGTGCAGATTTGGTTATGGGTGCTAATTTTTGGCTGTTTAATCCTGTGAGTGCTACTGTAGACACTGGCCACGAGCAAACAGGACTTATTAAGCATTAGGATGTCAAAGGCCGTGGTTACACTAACAGTATTATTCATCAGAGCTTTTGTGTTAGGAAAAGCTTTAGGGGGACAGATAATTTGATATGGTTTTACCCTCTCCTCTGTTCTGTTGGTGGAAATCTCAGAGTCCCTCCCTGAGTCTGCCTTTCCAGGGACCCTGATTAGTAGCCATGGATTGGACTCCAGTCAAAGGTGCTGTTCACATACAGTGACACAGACCATTCCTGTCACAGTCAGGGTGAGCATGTCCTGCCACCTTTCCTCAGCTAAACCAAGAGACCAGCCACGAAAAAAAAATCACATCTAGGTCCTCTTGATGTTCAGTACAGGACACTCACTGTAGATCCACCAGGAAACCTAAATCTTTGCTATCCTGAACTGCTTTTAGCAGCCTGAACTGCTGGAGCTGGTGGTGAGGAGTAGGAAGGGAGTCTGAGATGTGCTTTCATCCAGTATCCATGAGTGCAGTTTGTGTAAGATAAAGCAGGATCCTGAGACATGAATGATCCTTTGGATGGATGGATGGTTGTTGAAGCAGCTGTTGAGAAGTGGTTCCTTTCCTTCCTGCCACGAGTAGTGTTTGGTTATTTGAGGATGTTTTTCCTGGTGGAGCATGCTAAGGAATCACTGAGGCCTTCTTCCTGAGCTGCACCTAGTGACACCTCTAAAGCCTGATCCTGCAAGTTCTCCCTTGGGAGTGGAGATTTTTTGGGCACGAGGATCATCCTGTGATGGGGCTGAGCCTAAAAATTCCTTCAGGGAATTAGGGGGACCTTGAAAAGGCCTAAAAGAATAAAAAAATATAATTGTTCAGTGGGAAAAATAGCCATTCAAACCAGCAGAAACCACAAAGAAAACAGGGTATGAAGTCAGACTCCCAAGTTTTAATAAGCAATTTTCTAGGTAGAAATGCCTGGGCAGTAGAAGTCAGTGAGCATTTCAGCTGTAGCATAGAGTTAAGTCTGTATTAATGCCAATATTGCATGAGTTCTTGTACAGAAATGCATGTGGAATGTTACATACATTCAAAACTAGTTATCTTTGGCTTTGTAGGATCCCTAACATAGATTTGAATACAAAGAGAAACAGTGCACAGGCATCAGACCTTAGTTATTTAAATATAAGGACAGTTCAGGAAAGAACTTAAAGATGTGCTGAAATTTTAGCACGTGCTTTACTCCTGTTGATTTTTCATAAGCTTAAGCTTGGGTTTGGTCAGAAAGCTTTCCTGAACTGCAGTGAATTAGTAAGTACTTTCAATATACTATAGCAATTCCAGACCCTGTGAGATTCTGGAGCAGATTATAGTAATTCCACTATATACTCCAGAGTTTACCTTTTGTAATTTTTTCTACTTTTACAAGCACATAAAACTCCACAGGATATGAGGATTTGCCATATTAATTCTACTATAAAAACCCTGTCTAATTTGCCTCATGAGGCTGCCTTTAGTGTTTTCAGAGACTAATTGAATCACTAAAACTATATTGTTTTAAAACAATACGGTATTTAAAAACAAATTGGAGAGACTCTTAAAGTAGTAGGGCTTCATTTCTTTGAAATCTGCCTTTATTCAGTATATTTTAGCAAATTTGCATACACACTAAAGACACCTGTTTCAGATACACAGTCATTAGGAAGGAATTGGAGCAATCCTCCAAGCCTTGACTGATGTGTTCAGAATTCATACATTCAGGTGATGATCTTGACTGTAGAAGATCAGGGCAAGGCAACAAAATCTTCAGCCTTGGGATTTTTATCACTTGTAAAGCATTTATAATCCCGAAGCTTCTGAGTTAAAGCCTCATCTGTTATAAGATTTGGAGCTAGTTCAGTTCCACCAGCTAAACAGTCAGCCAAGACCCTACACCTTGAAGTAATTTTGCAAGAGTTTGGTAATGGGATTTTACCTTGGTTTGCCCTGTGGTGGGAGCTGGAAGTAGCTTTTGCTTACCATTGTCTGTCTTTCCTGTATCTGCACATTATTTACAATCTTCTCAGGAGCTAGAAACACTAATTGTGTTACTTTCATAGGCAATAGAAAAAGAATTCTGCTTAGAAAACAACTTCCACATCTCTTTCATCCTAAGCTAACACACACATATGCATGCAAAAAAATCACACGCTCAGTCCAGCTGCTGTTTTTCCTCTCATTTGCTTGTTCAGTACTTTTGAAGGGAAAAAAAGAGGAGGTAGGACCAAAAATTGTGGCCAACAGCAAAACAATGTTACACCCAGGCATTTCCAACAGGAAATAATGGCATTAAAGTGTTAGTTTCTCCTTATCCATATGGATGCTGATGGCATTTTCTAGGATGCCTTGTCTTTGCTTTTTCACGCCCTTGAGGTCGGCACTGCTCTTCTTGTTGCTTCCCGGAACACCTTGTGGAGGTGCTGTGGAATGCCACGCTGAATCCCTGCACAGACACTGTTCCAGAGTCAGCCATCCCTGGAAGTGGCATCCTCTCTGCAGGGGCACAGTGTGGACTTTACAGTGTGAGCCCTCCCTAGAGCACTGAGAGCCCGTGAGTGATTTTGCCATTGACCTCAGTGGTACCCCACAGCCATGCAAAGGTATCAGAGAGTTCTCTTACTGTAGTAGAGGCAGAATCATTTTTAGAAAGAGGAATGAAATATAGCCAAGTAAATTAGATATAAAATTAGTCTAGAAAGTGTCTCCTCAAGCTAAGACAATCCACAACCAGAGAAAAGCTATATAAAGGTGTGTTTGCCACACACAAGGTGCTGATCACGACCACAACAAAACACCTTTTTTCACGTGGTGACTTAGGCTCCAAGTTATTTTTCTGGTTGCTGATGGAAGCAGGCTGGGACAGTATTTGGGACTGGTGAAGTTCTTTGTAGAAGCAAATGGAGGGCACAAGATGAAGCTCTTTTTCCGTGTATCTAAAGAGTCATGTCAGTCCATGCAACAGGACAAGTGCTTTACACAAGATTCCTAGAAGAGATGCAGCTGAAACACCACCTTGGTGTAACGAGACCAAGAAGGTTAAGAAGTGCCTGCTAACATGCTTTGGGCTTCAGAAGCAGAACTGTTCATGTGCCCAGCAAGGCCTTGGTGACAATGGCCTTGACAAAAGGGGACAGGGCAGACTTTGATTCTTGAGGTATTTAGCCCATCTTGCATTTATTCAACCAGCTCTGGGAAATTGTTGTGTGCAGAATCACAGATTTCTTCTGCCTGATGCCTCTGTCCCACCTGTATGAATCTGAGCAGGCCTCTCCACAGTATCTCAGGAAATGTTAAAGCTGAGTCTAGTGTCTTACAGAGCAACTGCTCCTCACTGTGGAGTGAACTGGGCTGGGTTCTGCTACACTGGTTATTGATTCTGCCATTCAGATATTCTTTACCCTCTTTCTTTCCTCCTGGCTTGAGAGTTGGTGTCTCATTCTGGGTGCCTCCCAGTGAAAGGCTGGGGCCAGTAATGTGTGTGGACCCCTCATTTTGTTTTGTTTCCTTCTGGAACAGATCTCCAGTCATTTGATATTTGTCTGCAGGTCTGGGACCAAGCTGACTAAAAACCATGTTTTAATAGGGAGAGGGGAGGTGCACAGAGAATATAAGTAGGTGGATAGAAAGGCTTTTTCCAGCAATGCCATTGCACAGCTCTCTGATGGAATCCCAGCTGTAGAGCAGGGACTGTGGAGCTTTGGGGTCACAGACCCTATACATCCCTCAGGACACTGTTTAGAGAAGGTTAAAAATACTGACACTTATTTTTGGCCAATAGATGAGCTCCTGAGCAAAGAAAAATCAAACCTAGTGGATTCAGCAGTGGGATTTCAGAGCAACTGGGATGTCAAAGCTGTTAGTCTTTGGCATAACTCTGGACAAATCACTTTTCCTTGTGCCATGGTGTGCCACTGCATGAAGGACTGATTATAACACTGCTATTTGTAAGGTGCTTTGAGATAAGATGATACAAAGAGCTTGCTTTTAATACTTATTCATTACTTAGAGAAGTCTGAGTACCTTATAGAAGCAAACTATGGTCCATTGTCTTTGGAAAACCTCTTGAGGAACTCTGTTTCTCACAAAACTGCTGTAAAAATGCTTCATTATTTTAGTAATGGTGAAAGACAAACACCTCATTTTTAGTTCCCCCCAAAAACCCGTGGATGAGTCAGCAACATCCCTGGCAGCAAGGCCATATCCACATCCAGCAGCCCCTTTCTCTCATCTGGAGTTGCCACCTCTGGCCTGCATACAGACCCTGCTACCCCTCTTTTTATTGCATGTACATGTAAGTCTCTGGAGCAATTCATGTTACTGTTCAAAGTATGGGCTTTGTGCTTGTAAACAGTGAATAAGTCTAATTATTTCAGTAGCTTTCTATCAAGAAAACAGTGGGGCCGTTGTTGAAACCCTTCTAGTTTAGAAAGTATTCATGGCTAGATGGCTACACGGGAGAGAGCTGCCTTTCAGTTGCCTCGCTTAGTGCACTTACTTGAACTCACCTGTTCTGGCTCTTGCTCTTTATCTCAATGAACTGTAACTCAGGACTCTAGAGCCAGTTCAGATTTTCCCTTGGTCAGACAGTTTATCACTCAAACAACTGAAGAAGGAGAATGCTGAAAGGGAATTAACAAATCTTTGCAGTAATTAGTCTGTCAGCTGAAAAAAGGAAGTTGGCATCATTAGGGAAAGATGCTGTGATGGCCATTGTCAGGGGAAACAAAGGGAAAGGGCTTGTTTCTTAGGGGAATGGTGGGGAACATTTGTTAGGAGGTAGTTACTGAGTGATGGAATGAGCTTGAACTGAAAGGAAAATCAAATGGCAGGGAAAGCATGAGATGGAGCACTGGCAAATCAGTGCCCTTGATGTGTGGGAATAATGAAAGAAAAAAGCCAAGAAATTCTAGGGACAAACAAAAGTGGGGGGGGGGGTGGCTGAGGCTGACTGAGGATCTTCGGCTCGGTTTGGACAGAAGGAGCTCCTGGCTACTTGTGGAGAAAGCCCTTGCCCCTGCAGGTACCTAAGCCAGGGTTCAGGCTAATCTGCCACAGCAGTGTGTCCCACTCCCAAAGGCAGAAATAAGGTCACTCTTGGCTGCAGGCAGGAGAACTTGGCTTGAAGTTCTTCCCCTACTCCTGTTTAACTCTCTTGCCAGCACGTGTCATCCCTAAAACGGAGAAGGAAGATCCAGCCCTCTGGTGAACAACAGCACCAACCTGTGGTTTGGTTTTATTTATATTCTTCTGTATCAGATCATTGCATGATCAACATGCCCTGGCTTGGAGAGGTCAGGCCTGGCACACCAGGGAGTTGCAGGATGTGTGCAAGAGAATAATAAGGGCACCTCTGGGTCTCCTGTCCCTTCCCATGGAAATCAACAAACTCTGAGAAAAGTAGTAACCCACTTGCACCAGGGTGAAAAGCCAAAAGCTACTGGAGGAGGTTTTCTTGATTTGCTGTGTGGGCAGAGGGGCTGATGATCATCTTGTCCAGGAAATGACCAGCTGTGTGTGAAAGCTGCAGCAGACAATACAGCAATGGGAAGTCTGTGCTGGACAAGAGGGTCTGTGTTTAACACTGGTTTCCTCATAAGATCTTTTTTTCTATATTTGTTTGAGTTCAGTTAATTTAATCCTAAAACACAAAATAACTGATGTATCTGAACACTTCTTTTTTTTCTGTATGTTCTCAGATTTTTTTTCACTGAAAAAAGAGATGATAAAGATTGCATCTCTTTGTTTCTGTAGATTCTCCAATGCTCACTATAACACAAGTGAAACCCAACACACCTAATTCTCTGCTTCTTTAAGCAGACAGAACCTCCTCTTTAATTAAGGGAGCTGAATCCATTTGGTCCAAGGTTGGTCTCCTTTTCCAGAGGTTGATTACTGTCGATAATTCTTGTGTGATTGATTACTGGAGTGCAGATTGAGTTTCCTGGGTGACAGCTGCAGCCTTTGCAGAGAAAACCTCACTGACCCCAGCTATAAAGTGATCTCTTGTATGAATCTCGAATAGCAAGTTATAGATGGGAGATATTTTGTATAGTATTATACTTAATGATATAGCTGAAAGAGTATGTTACAATATCTTAAAAGTTTTAGAATTGAAAATTAAACAAGGAACCTCAGCAAATCAGGGTCTCCTCCATATTTTCTGGTTCTAAAGAGTGTTGGCTTTATCTCAATCTCACTTCAGTCTACCAATATAAATGCCCTGAGCCCAGCAGGGTTATGGAACTAGAAACAGCATTTCTATTTCTACCAGTATTTTTCTATTTTACTCTAATCCCAGCTAGCACCAAGCAAAATAGAGATTGATGATTGACCTGGTTTTTAGAGAAAAGTATTACCAAATGTGTTGAAATGAAAAGGAAGGTTCAGGTCATTTTAAGTGACTCATTTAAACTCAAGGCTGTTTTTGATTTTTATCCAAGCTGGTTCTTCCATCTCTATTTGCAACAGTTATATATAGGAAATCAAGATAAATTTGAGTCACATTTGAATAGTGGGGTTGTTGCAGAGCACAGCAATTCATCTGGCACATGCAGAATGGAACATGTTGGTGGCACTTGGTCAGGGTGGACCTGAACCAAACCCTGGTTCTGAAACCCCAAGTTCTGGAAAACCCATGCACAGGGTCAAACTTGGGAAATATCTGCAATGGACCAATAGACTCTGAGCTGGGCTCCAGGCCCAGTTCTTGAAACGATGAATTTTACCTTCAGAGAATCCCTGTGGAACATTTAGTGGGGTTTGTTTTTTTTGTTCTTTGGGTTTTGGGGTTATGTTTGGGGAGTCCTTTGTTCTTTTTTAAATTCCAGCATAGCTGCTTTTCTCCATCTGTTTCCAACCATTGCAGAGCAGGGATGGATGGGCTTGTAATTCATTTCCCTTAGCAGGAGGCAGTTGAAATCTAGTGATATTCTGTCTTCCTCTCACACTCACCATACAGTCATTGAGGGGCTGCAGTACACAGATCTTTTTTTCCTTTTTCTCCCCCTCTTTACGACAGAAGAGCTTTTTCCAGATTTAGTGTGATGTCTAATGATGCATCTGCTTAAAAAGAAGAATGTCTAGGAAATAAATTGCACTGCTAACTGGTGTTTATAGATATTGTGAAGCAAGTGTTGAATGTAAGAACAAGAAAGCCTGTGAGTTATAATTACATGCTGAATTCTGACACGTAAAATTGTTGTTAGTTTGCTTCTTATTTAAATGATGGGTGATCTAAGCAGCTTTCCCACTGTGTACAGCTGTGATTATCAGTTAGAAGACACCCAGGGTCTTTTGGAAAGAGGAAACCTGTCTAGCCAAATCTCTTGTATTCTCTGACATGATGACACATTCCCCCCCTGATAGTCTGGATTTTGTGACACTGCCTAGCCTGGAAGCACAGGAAAGGACTATCAGCCTGCTGACTTTGCTGTTCCTAGTCTTTGCCTATTTTCTCAAACACAAATCCTATCCCAAACTAGGGTGAGCAGCTCCCATCACATCAGCCTGAGTTACTCATGCTACTCTTCTCTGAGAAGCAGGAACTGCCTTCGCTCACGGCCCTGCAGCTCTTGGGGCTGCACACCTGCCAACAGGTTGTGTTGAGGGAGGGAGAAATGCAGCTGAACCAGAACCCGATCATAGATTACTGTCTTAGGTCATTCATCGAGTTTGTGTGATTTCATCATTAACAACAAAGCTGCAATATAATATAACTAAGAGGCCCCAGTGTATTTTCTATTGTCGTTCAGTGGGTGGGGGTTGGAGGGGCAGCTGGGTTTAAAGTTTAGCTGGTATACTTTAAACTCTGTGTACATAACCTTGGAGGGCACAGGGGTGGTGAGGATTTGGTTGTTGTTTTGGTTGGGATTGGTAAACTTCAGTATGTTTTTGTTTAAATAATAAGGTATTTAATTAATGACATTGTACAAAGAGCTATTAATTTAAATGGTGTTTTTGTTCTCATAAACCAGATCTACTAACCTTTCTTTTTGGCAAGCCTGCAGCAAAGCTGATCATGTTGACTTTTGTACCTTGGGAGAGTGCGTGGAAGGGGAGGGGAAATGCTTTTCTCTTCAGACAGATAATGTTGCCCATAGTTAACTTTCTGCTTGGATATATACCTTGAATTCCCTTTATGCTGAATTTTTATGTGAAGGTCTCTCAAAGGGACAGAACAAGCAGAGGTTATTCCAAAAGATCTCAACTGTATCATCTTGTAATATATTGCAGCTTTATGCCAATGATTCCTTGCTTACCTGTACACAGTCCATGCATGTTTTGAACTAATTTTGCATTCTCCATTTGTGGTGAGTTATTCAGCATTTTAACCACCTTTTGTGCCATTCAACTTGTACAGAAAACATTTTTATTGACGTTTTAAAGGGAGGGGGAAGAAAATAAAAAGACCCCTTCTGCTCCCTAGTTGTAGGTAGAACTCAGTTACTTAGCAAACAGATGTAGATGAGTGGTTGTAGTGTTAGAAATGTTAGCTTGCTCGTGAACAAGCTCTTGAGAGTAAATGCATGGTCCTGTACCTCTCTTTTCTTAATTAGCTCTTCCTTTCCTCCTGGAGAGATTCTCCCTCTCTCTATTACTCTGTCTTTGTCTCTCTCGTGGTTGTAAAGTACAGATTTGGGCAGAAATAAAACGATACACGACGAGGTTTGAAAAGCAGTTCTCAACAGGTTCTCTCGGGGAACGTATTTCTCACAGCACCTTGCCTTGGCACATTGATTAAACTCTTAACTTTCAAGGTAAAGCAGGAGGAGATCAGCCGTCCGTTGCCTCTGCTTGAACTGGGGAACAAGTTAAACCTTTGGAAGTTTGTGGCTCTGACGAGGTCTGGCTGATCCTTTGCAGCTGAGGCAAGAGGCACGTGGTGCATCGGCCGTGGCCTCCTCACCTGGTTGTGGCTGTGCCTGGGACTCGTCCCACGGCCCCTGATTTGCGGAGTTTGCACAAACACTTTTTGATTTTCCTGGACACGCAGCGCGAGGGGGTGAGGGGTGGAATACAGGGGTTATGTTGTTAGGGGCTCTGTAGACAACTCCTTCTCCACGCTCCCAAGCTCTGAGTCAAGTACACAGGGCTTCTTGTTTATTAGCTGTGGTTCTGTTGGCAACGGAGGACAGAAAACCGTCAAATTCTTGGAAAAGATGGGGTCACTCACAAAGACGTGATTTTGTAAGAAATGGACTTAAAAAAACCCCACAAAGCCCTGCCACAAAACCACCAAGTGTACCTAGATCCACACATCTATTCCCCCATGCCTCTTCTCCCTTAACAGAATTTCCTTTTGTTAGAAGATTTGACTTTCTAGGAAAAAATTCCATTTTTGTGAGGTGTTGTGAACTGTTTTTACTACTTGTAATAACCATCCCAGGTCTGAGTATTCTTGTAATGCAATGCCATGCAGCAGAGAACCTGTCCACTTTATAGCTTTGCTCTCAATATTTGTTACTCATTGTTTTCTCATCTAAATGTACATTTGCAAGATGTGTGTAATGTCATTTTCAAAAAATAAAATTTGGTTTCAATATTTAGGCCGATAAAAACCTTTCTGATGCTTTTCTTTGGCAAGTGTATGTTGACTATGATTTATGAATTATAGCAGTACTTGTTCATTTTGATCCATCAGCGATCCCAAATCAGTCCCACTTGTATAAATGCAGAAAAGAAAGTGACTGCAGAGGAAATTCGATGGCCCTGAATTAATTAAGACCCACATCTGCCTAACTGAAGCAACCCAACCTGTATTAGACCCATCCTTTTGCCCAAAGGGTTGAGCTCCCTGTCGGTCCTACTCTGAGATATAGGGGGCAAGTAGGGGCAGCTCTTTCCCTAAATGAGCACTGCAGTTAAACAGTGTATTCAAAGAAGCAAATCTGGTCCCAGTCTGAACTCTGTCCTGGCATCCAGGGCCTGGGCAAGGCCTGTGCAGTCTCATATGGGCTTTGGGAAGTTTGGTTAGTCTTGAGAGCTGCACTGTGTTTGTCCTGCCTTCCCACACTGGCCTGAAAAAGGTCCCAGTTCTCCTTTCACAGCTACCCTGCCAGAACCACAATGAAGACAAAAGCACCCTCCCCTGAAATCCCTGAAAAATGATAATAAGGCTTAGACCTCCTCATTTAATTATACAGTACAAGCCACTTTGCTGTTTGTTTCTGCTTCACATCTGCAGAATTAGGAGTGAGTGTGGTGAGTCAGCCCTGGCCATCCCTGCTGTAGACTGGGCTGCTGTGAAAGAGCTCGGATCCTTCCCGATGTTTTTTTTCACACTCGGATGGATCCCTTTCTCCTTTTTCCCCTGTGGCCATCACATGTCAGCCCAGAGAGCACTGTCCTCTTTGCTCCCTGGTCCAGAGGAGATGCTGTGCCAACTGGCAAGCAGCATCAGGGCTACCAACACGTCGGCCCACTCGGCCAAGTGCTGGCACCCACTTGAGATGATCACGCCATGCTTGGCCAGACCAGAGCAGCATAGACAGTAGAGTTCTGTTTGCAGTAAAAGACCACACTGAAAAAAATTCCAGTTCCCAGAATAAAACCAGTAGAAAGAAAACAGTCTCAGAACAGCCTTTATCCAAATGTGCATGGACTGAAACTGAAGCAAATGTTATCAGAAAAGCAGAATGAGCGCTTTGGAAAACACTCTGCTTGTGCTTTTATGCACCCCAAGGGCTAACAAAGCAACAGATGTCTTTTCTAGGGGCTATGTGTTAGATGAGGTCAATAAAAAACTTAGGAGGCAGTGCTCCTGCCCGTGCAAAATGTTCTGAAAGTGTCAGATTTAAATCCCTCAGCCTGCTGTGTGCAGCTATTGTAGCAATTCCAGGGACTCCAGAGAGGGTTCAGGGAAAACCTAGATGGTGGTAATGTGGCAACTGCAACCAGCACTGCAAAGCAGTGGAAATGATGCTGCTGTCTTAGCAGGAATCACACCAACACATACGAAATCACTCGATTTGCTGTCATGTCAATGAGAGCAAAAATTCCATTTCCACAGCCCAGCCTTCCTGCTGCCTCAGCCTGGATCTGGACAGAAATGTACTTGCAGTGTCCTGGGATATGTCGTTTCATCAGAGCAGCAAAACAGTGTTTGCTCCCGAAAGCTCCCAGTTCCAGTGTGTCGGCCCTGCATGGTGCCAGTTGCTCGGGCTGAAATGGAAGTTCCGGCCTGGTTGGAAACCCCTTGGCTGGTCCCTTGACCCAAGGGCCATTTCTTGTGCTCACCCATTGCTCACTGTCCAGTGGGGTTCCAGGCAAAGAAAATACGCTTTGTGCCTGTCGGGCTTGTCAGCTGCAAATGATCCAAGTGTTTTGTGGCTGCTGGCTGGAATTGCAGCTCAAAATATGGTAGCCAGACCCACGTGGAACAAGACATTGACTGGGCTCTCTCAGCTTAGCTCCATGAAACACCGAACAGGGTTGTAGCTTCAACTCAAGGTTTACACAATGATGCTTAATCTGGTATTTTCTGTAAATAAAATAACTTTAAAAGTCAACAAATCAGATAATTTACAAGGTTTCTTCTGCAGTCTGAGCTCTGTACCTTGTTCTCCACCTGCTCCCTCACCCCAACCTCTCTCAAACACACCATAACTTCAAAGGTACAGTTCTCCATGCAAGTATCACCTTTACCATAAGGCAGGCCTTGCACACCTGCAAACAGATGTGACTTTCCAGATGTTCACTGGAAAAGATCCATGGTACAGCTACTTGTTTGGGTTTTTTAAAGAATCAAATCAGAAGGGTTTAATTTTACAGCCCACAAAGTGTGTGAGAACAATGACTTGCAATTGTAGGTACTCAGCCCTGTATTTGCAATCTGGTTATTATGAGTTATGCTGACTTGGGCTCTGTATGGTGCATCAAACAACTGGACTCCTTGTGTTAAGTCTTTATAAGATTATCAACTGTTTGTGTGTGAGGGAGCAGGAGTAATGTTTTATGGATTATGACTTCAATTACCATAAACACACCTTTGCCACTGAAAATTACAATCTGCATTCTTCACTCTCAAGTAGGTCTACTGAATTTAAAAGTTCCCATCATTGTTTGACATAAATCAGTTGACCCTGAGATCCCAGAAACATTCCAGTTCCCGACGACTGTGAGTCTGCCACTCCCTGACCCCCATGTATTAAAGGATGCAAAGATTTTGTTTCCATTTATGTTACTTCTCTGGGGTTACCTGGAGGGTAATGAGGCACTGAGTGCCCCAAACTCCACTGATGTATCTGGGAGTGAAGAGCAGGAAAGATCTTGAAAAATATGTTTATCTTTGGATTGTATAAGCAGTGAACAGGAACCAGTGGGACAATAGGAGCCTGCAAAACCTTCAGGGAAGCACATCTTTGTGGAGACACAGTGCTGGCCTGGCAGTGGCATCCCCTCCCTGCTCCTGTCCAAACTCCAATGTTTGGGCCACCAGCTCCAGCTGGGTTTCACTGCAGTGAAGAAACCCCTTCTTCCAAGGACAGACAAGCACCTTCTCTCTCTCCTGCTTCACCTAGGTCAGAGACCACCAGCCAGGTCATTAGTGTGGTGCAAGGTAACAGTAAATGTGAGACCAGGAAAGAATGATAAATAAGACAAATCCACTGCCTCCTTGTGCTGGGAACTCATTTAAGTGCAGGTCTTCCCACAGTTGGTGCACCCAAACAAGTGCTGGATTTGAGTTGCTCCTTCTGGTAACTGTGCTCCTGCCACGATGTGTGCATGTGTCATCTAATTTAAGTGTTCAGTGTGCTTTTAGCACCCATGTACAGGCACAGGGAGTGCCATTGAGCTGGTTAAACCTCTGTTCTGCCAGTCACTGTGAGAGAGTGACAGTCAGGGAGTGACAATCCGGGACAGCAACTGGAGCTGGGGAGAGAAAGGTGATTTCTGAAGGTCCCTGGCAACACATCAGTTCAGTGGCCTAGGCTGCCACTTACCACACTGAGGTTTCACAGCAGCTTTACTGCTTTAACTGGGATGTGGAGCCAACACATAGGAGGGTTTTAGATCACTGGAAATGATGTTCAGCCTTCTGTGTTCAGATCTTGGGCTTCTTGAGCCCAAGGCAACAAATCAGGAGTTTGGCCACTCTCTCAGCTGCTCCCTTTCACTGTCTGCCATTAAACCTTGCGATTTAAAAAGCTTCTCTCAGAGCTTGTCACCACGGCTGGCTGTGTGCTGCTCTCTAGACAACACCCCAGGCAGTGTTTGTCCACCTTCTAAAGCAGAGATATCCAAACGATGCAAGAATTCACAACCATGGGGAGTTTCTCTGGCGAGCTACGAAAACGTGTTAATGGGAGAAACACCCCAGTGGCACCACTTAAATTGTATCAGTGCCTTATCAGTCCCATTAGGCTGAACTGCATCTTTACCTGTCTTAAAAGATTATTCATAAGCTTTTAATATTCTAGGAGATGTAACTAAGAGCCCACTGTCCTGTTTTCGGCTGGGACAGAGTTAATTTTCTTCCTGGTAGCACCAGCTACTGGTGCTGTGGTTTGGATTCAGTATGAGAATAATGTTGATAATACACTAATGTTTTCAGTCATTGCTAAGTAGTATTTTTACTCAGTCTTTTCAGCTTCTCATACGCTGCCAGCACAAGGAGCAGGGAGGGGACACTGGGCAGATGACCCCAAGTGACTGAAGGGATATTCCAGACCATATGGAGTCATGCTTAGCATATAAACTGGGTAAAAGCTGTGCAGGGACTGTGTCTTGGGCACTGGCTGGGTACAATTGCACTTGTTTTGTACACTGTAGTACATTCAGAAAATATTACTATCATAATTATTATCATAATAATTATTTTCTTCCATTTCAGCCCCATTATCTCAATCCATGAGTTTTCTCCCTTTCTCCCTCCTGACTCTCTCCCCATGCCAGTGGGAAGGCAGTGAGTGAGTGGGGCTGAGTTGCCAGCTGGGGTTAAGCCAGGCCACTTGCAAACATCACACAGTGTGACCCAGCACAGGGATCTGAGCTGTGCAGCACAACAGCACCTGCTGGGGTCCTGAAAGCAGCACAGCTCCCTTGCTCACTGATGTGGCCTCTGTGCCTTTGGGACACAGGACAGGAACACTGTGAGACTGCCACAGCTCTTGGAAGCGATCAGTAGAGCAACCATAGAGAGCTTCCTCCTGCAGGTACTGTGATCTGCTCAGGTCTTCAATGGTTGGCAGAACTGGGGAACTCAATTGCTCTTTTAAGGGACAGGAGTGGACCAAGATGCCATCCTCTGACATGTATGGCCCCACTTTTGCTGAAAAATAAGGCAGCAAAGCCAACCTAAGCTTGAGTTAGCACAATGCAGCATCCTGGCTGTAATAACCAGAAAAGTTCCCACTGAAGATGCACACACAGCCAAATCTGCCTGATTTAGCATCAATGACAATTCTTCCTGTACAACCTAGAAAGGTGACCAGCACCTACAGCAGGATGCAGCAATAAACCCTTCCTTTTAAATCAACAGATGACCAGCCTGGCCTCTGGAGAATGATGCATTTGTGCAACCAGGAAAGAAAATCTCAGGATGATGCTGTTCTGTCAC